TGACTTGAGCTCATTCCTTTTAACTCTTCTTTTTCAACTGACTTTTTGCGATTTTTGTCAAATTTTCACGCGTTTTTTCGACATTTTGATGAAGTAAATCATTTGTTTGACTAAATTTCAATGACAAAATCAGAAATAAATATTGGTTTTTTTAAAAGAATATTCAATATATATTTCTATATTTTCAATTGAAATAAACTCTTTGATTCGAATTCTTGAATTGTGCTAATTTATATAAATTATGCAAAGGCGGGAAAAAAGCGTGAGCCGACCCGAAACAGACTTGTYAAATACCGGAAATAAAAAGAAATAAACATATAATAAACGAATTATTAACCTCGCTTGCTCGATCTGTACGGGAATTAAATATCAGACCTCGATGCGCTCGGTCCGTACTGTCAAGACCTCGGCACAAAAGCACAAAAACCTTGAAGACGAGGCTTAAACAACTAATCGCTATGCTTCTCCTGAGCTTGGTGTTCAATTCTTTCTGTGTGATAAGTCAATCAATGATAAAAGTGGGCTATCGACCTTAATCTTTTTTTAAACACGTGAAATCTGTGTGTGTTCATCTAAACCTTATCAGCSWTATAGATCAAGCTCCTTCTTGATAAGGTCCTTATGGCTAATAAGACGGCAACTAATGTCAGGAGGACATAAGCAAAAGTGCGGACTAAAACAGGGCTTTTTCTTTCTAATGCATTTCTCGTTGCAGTAAAAATAAACATAAGACAATTTGGACTGCATATCTCCATTTGCGTTTGTGAATTTTCTGTTTTTTGACACGATGACTATAGGTCGTACCCACTTTTATTAATATTCTGATGACTAATCATTCATTTATTCATGTTCTTGCGTATTGCGTTTTTCGCTGTGTCTATAGGTGGATCTTTGCTGACGTCATTGTTTACATTTTATTTTTTTTCGGCTAACACCACATACACACTGAATATTGAAAGAACTCTGTAAAATTAGCTGTAATTGATAATTTGAGCCGAAAATCGTTGCACTTAGAGACATTGTGCAAACTTGAACCGACTGCCGGCCACGCAACAACGAAATCCTAAATGGCCGGCAGCCCATAAAATAACAGATTTCTCTTTTATTATTCTTATTTAAAGAGTTAAAACAACATAATCAACATTTCTGAAACTTTCATGGTACTGTAGAGACATTTTTCTATTCGAGAAAAATCGATCTCAAGCAACACGGCGGCCTGCCGGTCACTCAACATCAAAATCCTTAATGGCCGGCAGCTCAATAAATAACAGATTTTTCTTTCCATGCATCTTTTATTATTCAAATTTAAGAGTTAAAGGATTATTGCCAGTTCCAACTGTAAGTACACGGGGTGTGCCGGGGGTGTGCCGGGGGTGTGCCGGGGGTGTGCCGGGGTGTGCCGGGGTGTGCCGGGGTGTGCCGGGGGTGTTCCGGGGTGTTCCGGGTGTTCCGCTTTCAGGGCTAAAATAATGTAGTACCTTTGCAGTTTTAGTCTGGGGTAGGGTATGTAAAATCACAAAAAATGGTCTGAGATAGGGTAAGGTTTTGAGGGTCGTGCGTTGGGGGGGTAGTACCCCCCTCCCCCAGGGCAATTCGTATATCATACTTATTTAGAGTTGATTAGGTAATTAAGATAGCGAAATGAATGATAATTTAGACTGACGTATGTRAYTGTACTKAGKGGTAAAWAGTCAAAATCCGACGGCTTCAGAACAGGAACAAATTTAGGTGTTTTTATGCCGAGAGGTCTAGTACATGGGCATGGCAACCAATGAAGTCTATGTAGCAAAAACGTTCTTCTTTCTTTTGCAAGATAATTAGATAAAAACCCGCAATTTAATATCCTTAGMGAAATTCTTTAATTAAGATTATTTAAGCATTCTAAAACTCATAAATTATTCATTAGACATTCTTCCAGTGAGCATTCAATTATGGATCACATGGCAGAACCTATAACTCAAGTTAAAAACACTGATAAATTAAACATGAGTTTTATAACTAACTGATTCAGTTAGTTATAACACTCATGCATAAAACGTCAGTGTTGTAACTGATCATTTACACTGACACTCGATGTGTGCCCAACACTATAGAAAAGTTCTCAGTTTTAGACTCTCGTCATAGAACTTTACTAGGTTTCAAGTTGAAATATATATTATATACTTATTGCAGAGTCATAGTACACTAGAACTTAGTGGCGCTTGGATGTGGGAAACCAAGTTGATTACTGCTCATGCTCAGATGGAGCTATCTTCATTAATTATTCATTTTACGTCTGGTCAGACATGTAGTCTGCTGCTGGTAACATTGTAACCCAGTACAACCTGCCTCATGGACGGGTCGTCGGCGTCTAAACCGTCACCCCCACCAGTCTACACTGGTGAGGAGGGTGGCATGACACCCAGCAGGACTAAAAACAAAACCTGTCAAAGCGCGAATGAGTTTGGTTAAGCCACCGGGCATCATGCAAAAACACTTGTTTATTGTGATGTAAATCTGTGTTGTACTTTAATTTTTAGTTTGAGATCTTGGGACGGACTGTGCAGCGGCAGCCAGAGGCGCCAACTCAAGCTCACAGTCTACCAAGRCTCTCATGTGTTTTGTAGTTGTCATGTAATTTTAAAGCGCTTAGAACAGAATTGGATAAGCGCTATATAAATAGGATTATATTATATTATATGTATGTATAAATGATTATATTATATTATATTTTGATATTTTTTTAAAATTTATTTCATATCAAACTAAAATATTGTAGTTTCTTAGGTTTGGGTTTTAGAAGTCATTTAAAAAAGTCGTAGTTCGTGTTTTATCGTGGATATAAACACTCCTACTCGTTTTTTAAATATCACATTAACCGATAGTCTAAAGCGGTTTACTGGCGAAATAAACCGCGCGGAATGGTTAAAGAACACGAGAAAAGATCTTTCTAGAACTCATTGATAGTTCATGAGCTATTAGTCCAATGAGCATCGAACTATTGGGTCACATGATGTCAGCGCACGTGTTAGAATTGAGCTATAATATAAAATCAAGTTAATGATTGCACTATAGCAGACTATAGCAAGCACTTGCATGATCAGGCTCACTACCCTAAGTGAACGATTATAACTTTAGAAAAGACATCAGATCGTTGATTGCTAATTGCATATAGGGGGATCTCCACAATTGTTCTTATAAAATCATCTTTCTTGATAGGATGCATCGAGAGATCTCTTGTTGGTGAGAATCGTCTAATCATTCCTAACAGTGGCTATACAGCCTCTTCGTTCTTATATGACAGTAAGCAGTTTAAAGATCGAGTGACCGGAAAACTATACTGGATCGACACCCGATACGTTCCACACAATGCAAGACTGAACAGCAAATTTGGATGGTCACCACGTGATAATAATAACCCTGATTACTTACAGCTGGACCTTGGTGCTGTACGAGCCATCACTGCTGTAGCAACAAAAGGAAGTGGTTTCTTATCATATGAATGGATAAAAACATTTAAGCTTCGGTTTCAACACGACGCAAATTCAACGCAATGGACTGAATACAATGTCACTTTAAAGAATTATTACTTGGTAACGTCATTGTTGTTAATTTATATCTAATATTATATGTTGGCAATATTGCTAATAAAGTTTGTGTTTTGTCTTATTTTATTTAATATATGGCTTTTTCGAAATTCATAAGGAGACTGGGAACGAGTACGAATAAAGACTTTCAAGTTTGGTTTTAGTCAAAAAATGCATTATAACAAGCGTAATAATTTGAATTTTGTTTTTGTAGTGTAAATATGAAGATGCATGGCGTAAAACCAAGCAGTACTGGTGCACCTATAATGGCCAACGGATGACTGCCAACATTGCGGTTCGTCATGATTTAAAGACAATCCAAGAAGCGCGGTTCATTAGATTTGTACCTGTACATTATCAGGTGTGTAAGACGATGAGAGTCAACGTGTTTTTCGTCAATCAAGGTGGGTTGATTTCAGCGGTATTACCCATACAAATCGCCATATCGATGATTTCATGCTGTKAATTTCATAGAAGCACCACGTATTGACGTCATCACTCCCTTTGAACGATCAATATTTGTACGATGGACTATTCAGCCATGTGGTAAACTAACTCAACTTATAACTGGTTACGTTGTGGAAGTAAGCACTAAGGGAAAATTGAATGTTAGTTCAACAACTACAAGTAAAATCATCACAGGTCTTCAGCCAWACACTGAATATAAAATACGAGTCAAGGCTGTTCCGTATGGATTATGGAGCGATAACAAGACCATCCAGACTGACATAGCAGGTTTGTTAACTTGAGAGTGAGCTATTTGGTATAAAATCTTGTGTCTATATCTCTTTGACTTAGTTCCACAGGGAATCCAAAGCGTTGTTACTTTGAAAACACTCTCACCAAATTCTATCAGCGTCACGTGGAAGGTAAGAACATCAAACTGAAAGACTGGAATATGACTGAATCTAACCAGAAGATATTTCTTGTTTTATCAGCATCCACAAAACCATTCTATCAACGGACCATTAACAGGTTATAGAGTAACTTACACAACAAACAAAGGCCAGTCAAAGAATGTTGACATAGGTGTGCTCAACACGTGGAATATTACATCACTAGAAAAGTGCACGTGGTACAGTGTAACGGTGTCCGTTAATAACTCCAAGTACATCGGTCCACCGAGTAAAAACGCCACTATAAGAATTGGAAATGGTAAGTGCTGATTTTGTCATTTATTGAATAACCTCATGATGTATTTGCTCTCCGATCACTTGTTCCTAATTATCATTATCACTCACAGTAATTTCCAGCAGCATTAAAGTGTTTCAATATTTATCACTTGATATAAAAATGGGTCTCGCTTTAAATTTTTTCTGCTGACTGAGGTCTACCAATCACGAGGACTTACAAGTGCAAAGCCTGAAGGGATATGGAGTTTTGAATATCAAACAATCTCTAAAGAGGAGCAAATAGCTAAATTCCCATGTGATTTTATAGTTGCTTACAGCCTTAGTTTTTTATAGCACCGATGGCCGGTCCCACGAATGTTTCTCCTATCCCGACAAACTCTTCTTCAATTGCTGTTTCCTGGAGTCCTGTAACAATGGACAAGTTAACATGTGACATCACCGGATATGACGTCAAGTTGTCACAACACGAATGTGCAGATATCAAAGACGGTGATTGGATACTTTTTGAATCGATAAATAGGAGATCTACGATTTTCACCGGGCTATTGCCTTCAACAATGTACGCTGTCTCCGTGAGAGCAATTACGATAGCCGGCCCAGGTCCTTATAGCAAACCAACTTGCGTCTCAACCACTCAAAGAAATATACAAGGTAAGATGGTATTTGGTGTAAATGTTTGATTTTGTAAACGAACAGTAACTATTAACTGAGATCGAAACCTATTCGAGTCAACACGACTTCAATTTAGCTTTACTGATTGGAAGATTTATTTGCAAGAATTTATATGGGGAAAAAACGGATCGATTACAATCTTCCGTTATATACCCGAAAAAGGTATTGTGTACATACAAAACTTATACTTAGGAAGTGTTATCAAAACCATGATTGTGCAGTATCGAAACACAATAATGATACGCTGAACAGCCGACAACCGCTATTTCGGTTGATGTAGTCAGATATACTATGCCACTTGCTATGGTGAAAAAGGAAGAGGGGGTGGGGGGAGGGAGGGGGGAGGCGTGTTAGAGGCCAAATTAAATATTGGTGGAAAGAAAAGTAATTATTGTAAGTATTTCCCCCRAATATAACGTGGAAATTCAAGAATATATTAAGAATTATTCTTAAAATTATTTCTCTCTCATACACACTAAGCTGACACCATCCCGCTCATGAGAAAAAAAAATTGATTTTCGTTAATTTTTGAGCTTTGTATATATACAAATTGTTTGTATATCCTCTTAATGATATTCTTGACCTCATTGCTCCCGTGAGCCAAGCTCATGTTTTGGCGGAATATTTTATGACATCAAGAGTATATCAATAAGAAAACGTAAAACTCATAACCGTGCGCGATTGGTTGAATAGAGAGATTAGAAGGCATACGTGTTAATAGCCGACTTTAGATATTTTGGTTCAGTGACCATGCACAAAAGAATTGCAGACGAGGCTCCGGAGAAATAAGAGAATAAATCAAGATTATCCATTGTTTTCCCGGAGCCTCGTGTGCGTTCTTTTGTACATAGTCATCGAATCAAAATATCTTAAGTTGACTATTCGCTGCCCCGAAGTATAGAAATTCAAAGTTGATCGGTAATTAAGATAGCGAAATGAATGATAATCAAGACAGCGTAATTATGTGACAGGTACTAACGCGTTAAGTTGTTAAAATCCAACAGCTTCAAAACAGGAACAAATTAGATGTTCCAATGTTTTTGTTCAAGAGGGTTAAAAAATCAAGCGGTTTATTTCTTGATGAGAAGTCTAATACAGCTGAAGGCGTGGCAACCAATGAAGTCTATGCAGCAAATTTGTACGAGTCTTCTTTGGTTTGCAAGATAATTAGATAAAATTCAGCAGCTTGATTGGACTAGAGAAATTCTTTATTAATATGATAATAATGATGATTAATGGTGACCGTAATTTGCAAGAAGCACTTGATGCATGATTCAAGCTCGCTACCCCACTGGAGCACTTATCCTTATCAGATAGCTAATTCTAAGCTAATTTTAATCATCCCATMCTTCATTTAGAAGGGAAATATCCACAATTGTTCTTATAATATCATGTTTCTTGATAGGATGCATCGAGAGATCTCTTGTTGGTGAGAATCGTCTAATTATTCCTAACAGTAGCTACACAGCCTCTTCGTTCATGTATGATAAAGCTACAGATATTCCCGATAACAGACGATATGTTCCACACGCTGCAAAGCTAAACAGCCCATTTGGATGGTCACCACGTGGTAATAATAACCCTAAGGATTATTTACAGCTGGACTTTGGTGCTGTACGAGCCATCACTGCTGTAGCAACACAAGGAAATGGAAAACCCGGATTATATGAATGGATAGAAACATTTGATCTTTGGTTTAAACAAGAAAAAAATTCAACTGAATGGATTAAGTATAAATGCCTACAAAATTGTCACAAGGTAACAGCATTATTATAATTCTATTGCCATATAGATTCATGTCCGATTCCGATTCATTAGTGAATCTTTTTTTACGAAGTCATATATTTGGCATTACTTTGAAGTACGCACGTGCATATTTTGCCGACAGGAATCTGCGCTCTTATTGCTTTCATACCACAAGTCGTACAGTTTAAATAAAGTCACCCTGAAAGACCAAAAATCACTTCTTACCTTATTTTTAGCCGAGCACTTAGGTTCGCTAGAGCTATATTTCATCGGTATCCTAAGTCAATCCATCCTTTACAGAGCAATTTTGCTTTATATCTAGCAYGTGAAATCTTAAAGGATTCCGATCGCCCTAGTGCAGTAGACCGACAACTATAACGAATGGAATGATATTCTTTGGATTTTATTTATGAATAATGACATTTCGTAGTGTGACAAAAAATCTTACTGGGAACGAGGCTGTTGGTGTACCAATAAAGACAAAACGAGGGAAACTGCTAACATTGTAGTTCGTCATGAATTAAATAAAACCCATGCAGCAAGATACATAAGATTCGTTCCTGTTGAGTATAACGCGTGTAAGACGATGAGAGTCAACGTGTATTTCGTCAATCAAGGTGCGTTGTTACAACATTTCAGCAGTATTACCCATACATATCGCCATATCAATAATTTCATGTTGTACATTTTTTAGAAGCACCACGTGTTAACGCCACACCCTCTGAACGATCAATATTTGTACGATGGACTATTCAGCCATGTGGTAAACTAACTCAACTTATAACTGGTTACGTTGTGGACGTAAGCACTAAGGGAAAATTTAATGTTAGTTCAACGATTACAAGTAAAAACATCACAGGGCTTCAACCATACACTGAATATAAAATACGAGTCAAGGCTGTTCCGTATGGATTATGGAGCGATAACAAGACCATCCAGACTGACATAGCAGGTTTGYTAACTTGAAAGTGAGCTATTTGGTATAAAAATCTTGTGTCTATATCTCTTTGACTTAGTTCCACAGGTAATCCAAAGCGTTGTTACGTTGAAAAATCTCTCGTCAAATTCTATCAGCGTCACGTGGAAGGTAAGAACATCAACAAGAAAGTCGACTGAAATGACTGAATCTAACCAGAGGATATTTCTTGTCTTATCAGCATCCACAAAACCGTTCTATCAACGGACCATTAGCAGGTTATAGAGTAACTTACACAACAAACAAAGGGCAGACAAAGAATGTTGACATAGGTGTGGTCAACACGTGGAATATTACATCACTAGAAAAGTGCACGTGGTACAGTGTAACGGTGTCAGTTAATAACTCCAAGTACATCGGTCCACCGAGTAAAAACGCCACTATAAGAATTGGAAATGGTAAGTGCTGATTTTGTCATTTTTTGAAAAACCTCAAAATAATTTGTTCCCGATCACTCGTTCCTCATTATTATCATTCACACATACAGAAATTTACAACAGCATTGAAGTTACTTCAGTCGTTATCACTTTATATAAAGATGAGTTTTGCTTACAATTTTTTCTGCTGACTGAGGTCTTCCAATGACGAGGACTGACAAGTGCAAAGCTCGGAGGGACATTGAATTTTGAATATCAAACCTCTAAAGAGGAACAAATAGCTAAATTCCCATGTGATTTTATAGTTGCTTACAGCCTTGAGTTTTTATAGCACCGATGGCCGGTCCCACGAATGTTTCTGCTATCCCGACAAACTCTTCTTCAATTACTGTTTCCTGGGGTCCTGTAACAATGGACAATTTAACCTGTGACATCACCGGATATGACGTCAAGTTGACACAACACAAATGTGCAGATATAAAAAGCGGTGATTGGATTATTGAATCGACCAATATAAGATCTACGGTTTTTAGTGGACTATCGCCTTCTACAATGTACTCTGTCTCCGTGAGAGCAATTACGATAGCCGGTCCAGGTCCTTATAGCAAACCAATTTGTGTCTCAACCACTCAAAGACATGTACGAGGTAAGATGGTATTTGGTGTAAATGTTTTTTTGCTGATGCTGATGCTGATGATAAAAATATGCGCACATGAAAACGAGGTATTTTTAAGAATATAAGCAAGCTTCGGGACTGTAACAGAAAATACCTGGTTCTCATGCGAACGGGCATCTTAATTGTCGTTCATTACATGTAAAGAATATACTGATAAGAAAGCATGACGATAACAATACAGTCAACTCTCGCCTTACAGACACCACGCTACAATAGAAACCTCGACTATTGGGGACAGTAAAATACTGAATCCCCGGCTAAACATGCAAAGAAGTTACTGAAAGTAACTCTCTTTCCTACGGACTCTCGCTACTGCGGACACTAAATTACAGTCCCGAGGGTGTCCGTAATAGCGAGAGTTGACTGTATTCAATTATTTTTTATGATGATGATAATGACGTCGATGATGATGATTAAAGGTTAACATTTATCGTCAATGTTTCGTCATACAATCATATTTACAACGAATCAGTTCTGCAGTTGAATTTAACCTGACAACTTATCAACTTATCAAAAGAATCCTTAGTTTCAGCAGGAAACCTTGGAAAGGAAGGCAGTATATCATCGTCAGCAAAGACTGTCATGATTGGTCTTGTGGTATCACTAGTTGTTGTGATTATCCTGCTAGCTGTGCTTACAGTCCTAACATGGAAAAGGTAGGGATTTCACATCTACAAACTCTATTTCTTTCAAGAACGTATACGTATTGATACAAAGTTTTTAACAATAATTCCTCTTTCCTCACATAAAAGTAGTTTTCTATTGTCCATTGCAAAGTTAAAACTGGTTTAACTTAAAAAGAGTTTGAGTACACTGACGAAAATTCGAAGATGCAGCTTCTCACACTTACAAAACTCAACACCTCAACAATTGTTCCATTATTGTGTTGGAAT